AAGGAATGAAAAGATGGCTATACGCGAATGGTCCGATTGCCGTTGCTATAAACGCTGCTCCATTGAAATACTATAAAGGAGGCGTTCTCAATCCAACAGCTCAGCTCTGTAGTCCGAAAAAAATTAACCACGCAGTGACTATTATTGGATATGGCGTTGAAAATAGTACAACTGGCGAGAAATTGCCATACTGGATCGTGAAAAACTCATGGGCAGCTGGATGGGGAGAAAACGGTAAATTTTTATTCTTAGTCTTGATTGAAGATTATCGAATATGTTTTGATTTCCATTTCAATTTCACACTTTTTGTTTGGGTGCTTTTGCTCACCGATTTTGTTTTTTCATCATCTTGTTTTTTTTTTCTTATGTATATTTCAGGGTTCTTCCGCATTGCTCGCGGTAAAAACGCTTGTGGATTAGCTTTGTGGGCAAGTTCCGCCAAATTATCAGAAATCAACGATAATTGTTTGTTGAAAGGTGCCTAAAAAGGCTAATTCCAATGATTATTTGACTACAACCCATTTTGTGTAACGTTCATATGATAGTAGTAAAAAGAAATATTTTACTAAAGACAATTGCGTTTTTTTCTACTCCCCTATGTGCTTCTTGTTTTTTTTTTTTTGGAATTTATACAGCGTCCATAAATGGGCCATCGAATGATTGACGTACATAAACACTTCTCTTTTTGTCATTCATCTTTCAATTAAATAAATCAACGTCGAGACATTTGTCATTAGCATATATATGTTCGGTTCCAGTTAAGTGAAACAAAAAACGTTTATGGACGCTATCACAAACGTGACACATTTCGTCTATATATATAAATGGTAAAATGATATAGTTCATTTTAGGTATAGCTTATGATTTTCTAAACACATATGAAATTCGTTAAATAATATTTAGCTTCTTAAGCTGCTCATAGGCCCGCATTCGACTTTATTTATTCAACATTCTACATTTTTGAATGTTTGAATCATACCCGTTTTTCGACTATTTCGGCTATGTATGTGTATAAAATAATCATAGGTTCAGTACATGTGTTACTGACTTTCGCACAACAGCTATAAACTCTATTTGATGGAACGTTTTTGAACCATATCTGATTTAACCCAAGACGAATATTTTCAACGCACTGTACCCTTGAAGCGAAAATACAGAAGCGATGAATTAAACAATGAAATTCAAAATCCATTGGCTGAAATATCAGATTGCCAAAATCACATGATTGGTGTGATTTTAATGCAGTTACACCGGTAAAATTTATTTAAAACTGTTTAAAAAAAATTGACGAAAATGTCGATTGAAACTGAATTCGAGTTTTTTTTTTCGATTTAGGTAAAAAATCAAGGAAATTGTGGATCATGCTGGGCATTCAGTGTGACTGGAAATGTTGAGGGATTGAATGCAATCAAAACAGGACAGTTGAATTCATTCTCCGAACAAGAACTTGTCGACTGTGATGATCTAGATGCTGGCTGCAACGGCGGTTTGCCAGACAATGCTGTTAAATTTATCGAAAAATAAGGTGTTCTGGAATTGGAGTCAGATTATCCATACACCGCACATCGATCAAAATCATGCCAATTCAATGCGTCAAAGAGTCGTGTTCAAGTATCGGTTGTCGTCTATTGTGTTGCCGATTATCCAGCATTCAACAAAACGATGCCATATTGGATCATCAAATATAGCTGGGGTCCACGTTGGGGCGAATAAGGTAGGTTTTTTTCATTTTTTGCCTGTTTTTAATATTAATCTTATTTTTTTTTAAAATTGGAGGAAAAAAACGCAACAACCAAATAATAGTCAATCGTTTCATTCTATCTAGGCTACTATCGTGTTCATCGTGGCGATAATACTTGTGGTGCAGGAGGCTGCAACATTGACTTCTTTCCATACTAATTTGACGTTTGTCACTGATGAACGATTTTTCAGCGCCATGTACCGTTTATGACCCAAAATTGAACATCGATGACTTATCGATACTGATGGCAGCTAGTTCACTTTGAATAGTCAAATATGTGCAGATGGCCCTTTTTGTGTGTGAGGTGATATGTTGCAGCTGCCCGTTGTGGTGTTACTTCAATAACCATTTCAGCGGTGTTAGCAAAGTCGAACAACTACTGACAGAATATCCGAAAAATTGACTTTTACAACTGAAATAATTATTTAATACACAATTATTTCACCCAATTTGCAATATTGTTTAACCGTATATTTTACATGTGATCAAAACGAGATAGAAAAAATGCAGAAAATTCAAAATAGAGCAATGCGATTAATTTTAAATTGTGAATATCGTACACACCGAGAATGGATGTTAAAAACCCTAAATTGGCTAAGCTTTGACCAGATGATAAAATTTAATGTTTTAATATATATATATATACAGAATGAGATAGAGGCTTCTCCCAGAATATTTAAGTGATCAAGAGATACTCACACGAGAAACACAACACAAAGAACAAGCTAAGACTGCCAAATTTTAAATATGAAAAAACCAGAAGGAATATATTCTATTATGGAGTCAATAAACATAATACATACATACTGATAATACAAAAATGGAACGCAGTACAGGGCTATTGGATGTGAAGGAAATGAAAATTTTGCTGATAAATATTGCTGATATTTGTTTGTTTGTCACATAAACAAATATTGAAGGAAAAAAAACTACGTCGGTTCCAAAGCTGTTGAAATCGTTTGATACAGAAAAGAAAGAAAATACAATAATTTTATTTGTTTATATGTTTGAAATTTTTACACAAATGTTATACCAATATAGAATTAATTTACTGTCTTGAGTTAACATTCGTAATAAATCATTATGCAATACAGAAAAACCCTTATGCTTTTTCTTATTCATATTCACATTCACATTCAAATTCGAATTGATTATTCAATTTGCCAAAATCTGCGTTGATTCACATTGCGGTTGAGGTGGGGTAAACCAATCAACATTTTCAAATTATATGTATGAAATTTGCTCACACCAACAACTTGTTTCCATAAATTCTCGTTTTGTTTTTGTTTTTTTTTTCCTTTCGGTTACATAATGATTTATTCAGCATCTAATATCGATATCATCTTCCACTTGTCTTGCCACATATGCTCTGTATACGTGTGAAGGTTGTTTTATGTATCTTCTTTTTTGACCATTATGTTCGTCACCCGATGTATTAGATATTTTGTTAATCGGATCTCATTAGCTCAGTGTCTACCGCGATGAAAAGTACTGTGTGAGCTAAATAAAATTCTGAACGATATTTTTCTGTAACAAAAGACATATAAAAATGTCAGTAAAATCAATGATCAGTGCGGTATTCTTGCTAATACTGTGTACCATTTCACAAACGCGATGTGATCTATCACGAGTTTA